TGATTATCCTCTACCATGAGGAATCTATCTAGGTACTATATACATCTTGAGTATCCTACTAATTCCAAGAATGGACTAACTATTAGATTGCCCATGCGAACTGCTCAAATCTCCGTCCCATACATGGTTCTAAATTTGGCTGTTACATTATTATGCGAAATAGAAGAAGTGAAACTACAAGGAAGCTGTGCGTAGGGAATTGGCCATCCGTCTAGTCGCTAGTTGTAACATTTGCATGACTAAGTTATTGCCCTTGATGCATCAGCCCCGTTTACTTGCTTGTAAACTACTCAACTTAAACATCATGATACAATATTTAAATTTAGGCAAATCTGATTGACATTAGATTAGATTTTTATTATAGTCCCTAATAAGTCTAAGGCTATGGAGGACTTTGTGAATCGAACTAAAGATTCTAGTTATATTTGAGAAATTTAGTTTTGAAATATGCCAAAATTTGTTCTTATAGATATTGAGGGTCAAGCTCTATCAAAAGGTGAGAGATCTCAATGTTAAATAAATAATTCATGATCCTAATTTGGCGCCTTGAGGCCCATACAGGTTTTTATAGGAAGATATGTGCTGTAAGTAGGATGACTCAATTTGACGTTAAGAACACTCACACTCAGATTTCATTTGCAGATGCCACTCGAGGTTAACCCTTAGGGCGTACAACCACTTCCGTCCAAACCCACCACAGAGAAAAGCGCAAAAAACCCATGGTTAAACGAGTGTGCTTTCATCATCCCACATATACAGTATCACCGCGAGAGAGTGTGGTTTGTGGGTCTTACTGGATTTGAACCAGCTTTCTCCTGTTCCAAATGGGGTAGGTGTTCGAGCTACCCAGTATCTACTTGGGAGAACGGCCCGAATGGTGTATCACCGCACCATCCAACCCCGATCTCAGCGTTGCTTACCCACTGATATATGCCATCTTGGTTTGAAGAATACAAATTTATCCGCCTTTTTGGTCTACCAACTCCGGTCTTAAACATTCTAAAGTGTTATCTTGCAAGAGTCTAACAGCCCCTATCGCACTTGCCAAACTACTCTGTTTATTTTTTTCACATACAAGTAAGATAACACGTTCCCTTCGTTATCTTCCATCTATGACCAACGAAACAAAGACTGCTCGCGGATATGAAGCTGCTGAGAAATCTGCGATGACACTTGGTGATGATCTCCCCTAAAACTAACCTCAGGCCTATATCAGGTAAGGCGACACTTCCTAAGTGTGCGAGAGACTGGCCAGCCGGGTACCGTATAGCTTTGTAGCTTCAGAGGTGACTCCCTATTGTCCTAGCCTTTTTTAAAGTTCTTCCCTGGTTCATACCCCGGGAAAAGCCAACGGTCAGGCTATGTATCCTAAAAGTTTTGATAGAGGCGGTATTCTGTGAAGTAACTCGACCCGACTTCTTTGCGCCGCTTGGGTTAGTGGATAATTCTATGTATTCAAGGACAAAAGAGGCACTCCCAGCTCCACAGATTACAGTTTAGAACTGAATGGTTGTAGGAGATACTGTTGGAAGGTGTTCAGGCTTCATGCCTCGACATAATTTATTCCCAGTAGTTTACTCGAGGATATTACTTTAGCGGTATTATTGGCTCTGACACAATACCTACCAGTGAAGCAGGGTTACCTGTAGTCCTTCCACCAGCTTCATCGCTGGTGATGACAATGACAAAAGCCATGGCCAGCTATACCCAACGCAGGACACTTTTTTCCCCGATATGACTGCTCAAAAAAATCAGAAGTGGATGATCAGTGCGGTAAAATCCAAAAGAGCTATACACCATAGCGATATTTTGTCATTTGTAGACTTCTTTATCCATATCCCTGAACGTTTTTATATTGTAGTCTTGTACAAAGAGCCCGCTGTATTTTCTACGATCGAATCTACCGCATGTAAGTGATATAAATTTAACATGTGCATAAGTAAGGGTTTTGAACGACTTTTCTAAATTTGACTTCATCCAATCAATGAGGTACATCATTATGTATCGCAAGAAATTATGGCGCGATAATTGCGACACAGAGCGTGAATGTGGTAATTTTTCGCGAGGGATTCATGTCCGAGCGGCCCGAGAGAAATATGGTGGTTGGGGTATGGCCTGCTGAAACAGGAGGTAACTCTATTCAGAATAATGAATAAAGTTTCCTGAAGTTTGTAAGGAAGCACGGATAAGAGAGCTGTGACATATAACCATGCTTTTCGACGTTTTTGGGGTATGAACTTACCTTATGGTTTTAATTTGAGTTTCCGATTAGTAGCAGACGGGAATCTCCCGAGCCGCACAAAAAATAATTAAGTTTTGTTTGAGACCGCGGGTCGCTCGTGGAGGGATTTCTAAAAATTTGCGGCTTTCAAAATCAGTTTGCACAGCACCAAAGATTTAACTGCATCTGTCCAGTTTTGATGCGAGTGAGGTGTTCAGAGTGGTAGATGAAGTTGTCAAGGCTTTCTAGAGGAATTATAGTGATCAGGAATTAATTCACATCTCGTCTGGGCAACAAATAGAACTTGATGAATGACTTATCAGGATAAAAAATCCTGCCACGCACTCATCTGAGTCCTAAGGCTTGACTCCGGGTCTATGTACCCGTATGAATCTAAGGCACTGCGGATGCCGATCATGCCACATGAGAAGCGCCTAGAATTCTATTTGATTGCATTGCATAGGTTTTAGAGCCATAGGTTAAGATGAAGTTCGCAGCAGGAGTGAGATCAAAACTGTCTTCTTGCAGAGTTAAAAGTGATGAGCTTCCACAGGTGTTGTAAAGAGCATAGGTTACAACCGAAAAAGAGACGGCTGAAGCTTACCCAACGATAATGACTGGGGTGCGGGTTCTCAAGCGTCTCGTTCGGCTTGTATTCATACCATGATATAATTATCACAAGACTCCTGACCGACATCTGAAGAAAGAACGGGATAAGATGATCTCTCTATGACTGAATATCACATGTTACTAATGGTGATGTGAGCGAGAGGCCGAGAAAGATATAATTACGTATTTTATTTTTCAGTATCTTGGGATTCGACTCCTACCTCCCGTTAGTCTATTGTTTAATTTGCGTGAAGAAATAATAATTGTTCTCGGTGGTCCGGCGTTGGTCTACCATGACACCTGCTATCCTGTCGGATGAATTCTTGCGCTAAATTATTGTGATATTAAGATCGTGGGCCGACAGCCACCAAAGCCATACTCAGGCTTTACCGTACCTTGACACAGCTCTACTCAAAGCTGCGTCAGTCGAATGAGTTTGAGCAGGAGCCTGTTCTAGGCCATTGGAAATTTACGTCTGAGCGGTAGATACAGGTTATTCTGCAAGCTGTTTCTGGGAACAGTATTGCCCTGTTGATGTGGGTTTTGCTTGAAATGCGCAACAGCTCGAGCTGATACAGACGATTGACTTTCATATCGAATGCGGGATGGCGCTTCGAGTGAGGATGGTGAAACTGATGCCGTCGCTAGTGATCGTTGATCGAGCCAGTATCAGGCATCACGTCCCTCATGACTTGAGCCAACAATTCAGAGGGACGGACCTCTTGCTCGCTTGTATGTCACAGCTTTTAGCTATCCCTGCGGTCTCACATTATCTACTTAACATGCACGCTGTCAGTATAACTGCAACCAACCTCGTCAAAGCTCGATCCCTACCTAGTCATAGATCTCTGGGAAGAGATAAACAGTAAATCAGATGATTTTCAGACTAGCTACATTTTCGGCTGCGTTTTTATTAACATTGTATTTTATTGTCCTGTCTGAGTCTATGACTACGTAGGACATGCTGTTTCTCTCTGCCTACAGACCGAGGATATCTTTTCAAGTAGTATATCCCCTCCTATGCCTCCCATACACCTCCTATCAAACAGTACCGCCCCTCACAAGTCCTCATTCGATCATACACATAGAGGATCGGCTGCGTTTTGGAAGAGCCAGCTCAGATTCATGACTATACTCCGCCATTTCCTCTGTGCACCAAACAAACTCCTTAGTAGCTGATGCGCGCTTTGTTAATTTCTTTCCTTGTATTTATCGTGTATATTCATTCAGCCGTCGCGGAGCGCACAAATTTATTAGAGTTCCGTATAATGAAAAAGCGCAGGCCATAATATAGAGATCAATAGCGCATCTCAGATTAGGACCATACACAGTAGATACGTAACTTTTAAGCGATGGAAGTGTAAGAGGAACATTTTCAGTGTTTGGATTTACAGAACAAAAATTCTTCATAAAATTATATATTCAGAATTAATTATCTACATCAAGCCATACTACTTGATAAAAGGAAGCTTTGATCCCAAGTTTAATGTTTAGACATTTATATTACTCAGGCCAACGGTCTATCATACCAATGCACCAGCTATCCTGATCATTAGAGTCAAAGCGCCACAAATCTGGGCGTAAATACTCTTGAGGGCGGATGATTTCGAGTTTGACTCCATGAATTAACATTATGACGTTATACTGATCTAGCCGTTCTATTCGGCGCGCTGAGACTTTCCGTAAGAGATCGCCTCCACGTAATCTTCCTTCATCTTGTAAAGAGCATTAATCTCAAAAAATTTGTGCCTTGCTTCTGCGATAGGAGAATTCCAGTGCCAGATGATGGTACATTTAGTGTTGACTCTGTTTATGGCTCCCGTGAGAGGTTCAAATCTAGTTTTATGATTGGGCTGTCTTCTACTTAAAACCATAGGCCACCATCGAAGGAATTTAGTCGGGTTTTATGACCATCTTCAGTGTTTTCCTATTAGACAAAACAAAGATGCAAAATCCTTGTGGCCGCTCATCTGCTTATTGGGAGCGCCATTGTATTTGAGCGGAGACCGACGTATCTATTAGTGAGTGTCTTATGTGTTGAAAAAAATAGCCAAGGCTATGAGGGTGTCGCTCGCAGGTTGCCTTCATCTCAGGTCTATAGTGAGGTTGGTGATAACCCTCCCTCCTGTAGGCTTCAATATACGACACACGGAATGGATGAATAAATAAGTTAAACGCCATAATCTTTCTTCTGGCGGCTTCTACCACGAATCTGCTGTAATTATGAGTCAGAATAGCCCTAAATCCTGAAAGAGGGTGGGTTTCGCGTACAAATTTTGAGCCATATAGACATCTAAGGCTATCTTCTTCGACCAACTTGTTCAGAGGTTTACCATTAAACGTGAGATCTTCATCAGCGATAAAGTAGGGCAATTTCCAGGACTGCGTATTTAGGTCGATCGCTTGTTCTTGCGAGGTCGAAGAGATGGAAGAAGGAGCAGAGTAGTATTTATCGGTTGTCTGTGAAGAGACGTTGGTGATGAGGAAATATTCCCCACGGTTTAGTTTAGACATGAATGTAATTAATTAAAGGCGTTGATAGGAGATATTCTGGTGGAAATCCGGGGAAGTTGTGATGGAGTGAGAGGGGAAGAGTGAGGCAGCAACGTTCATATAGGGACGAGGATGTGCGGTAACGTCAACCATTTCAGGGTCCCGTAGAGGGAAAAGTAGGCGAATGGGGAGGCTCAGCGCTATCAGGGAGTGCACAGGCTCTTTTGCCCCCGTCGCAAGCAAAACAAGATAGCGGCAGCCCCGGAAGAATCCTGAAACGGTTTTGAGATTGGTAATACGCCGAACAAACATGCGCCCGGTCAAAGCACTTGGGGTGCCCCCTTGGATAAGCTCGGTGGCCGCCGCGAAAAAGTTTGGACATTTCGGTTGGGCATAAATGCGAATTACACACGTGAAGAGTAAATGATTGTGAGTCACCCTAGTGGAAGGCGGCCCGGCCCAAATCTTGCATCTTACACCAAATTTTGTTTCCTTGGGTTAACAAGTAAGTGGTGAGAGAGTACAGCTGCCACCTTTACAATCGATCTCAGCTTCCAAAGCGGCCACTAGTCAGACCCTCGACCCTCGATCGACCGGGTTTTACTGCAACGGATGGTTCATCCTTTGCGAGTGTTACGGAAACGAGCAACCTTCTTTGCTGGTATGGTATGACCCAGTTCCCAGAACCTCGCGGTAGAGGGCGGGTATCGAACCGTTCACAAGCAAAGAAGCGAGCGACCCCTGCCCACACGCAATTCTAACTCCCCCGTCAAAACACACTGCGCCCGATCTGTCCTGGATAACGTAATTCCACGCGCGGAAATCGTGATCTAGTTGATAGGCGTGATCACTTATTGCTGGTATGCAATCGGCATGGCCGGCACTGGATCATGACAGGCCATTTTTGGTTCCAGTACAAGTTCTTACATGCATCCGGGCCGTGGGAGGTGCGCTGCATCGCATGGAGCGGGCAGTAACCATAGATCACAATTCCTTTTCTTTCCCTGCGCTTGCATGGGAAAATCCAACTTCTCCCCCTTAATATTTGATATCCACGGGGCGCCTAAGTTGGCCAGCATTACAACACACGGGCCCTCAATCCCTACACGATTCAGGCTGAAAGTCATCTCACACGCATCATCGACACCACCAGAAAAGAGAGCAGCAATTTCGTCCCACTGATTTGCCACCGGCAATCTGCCCTACGCCCTTGACCCAAGTGGATTGAGCTAAGCTAGTCAGGATCATTCAGCGTTGATGGACGGAGACGGAGGGCTGCTCAGACTTTTTTGTCGCTCTTCTCTCCCGTCTACCCAAGCCACTCTGATTGTTAACTTTCAAATCGGCTCTCGCGTTGTCGATTCGTTACCCAATCTATTTCGATTGCTAGTATTAATTGCAAGGCGTCACTTTTCCAAGCATTAATTTGGTCCGTGTCGACAGGGTCACTTGAAGGCGGAAAGCTTGATGATCTTGCGTGTCAACGACTGTTAACCCCCCCAGTGCCTGTGCCTGCGCTTGTTCTGCAAGCTCCACTTCACTCGTCCCATATCAGACGCATATCTGGCATCTTTTATTTGCCTTCATGCCAGCAATCTACCCCACCGACACTCTGTTCTTCATCCTGAAATGGTCTATTCGCCTTAGACTCCCCCGGCTCTATGACCTCCCTGCCGTTTGAAAAATAGAGATTGACTACGATGACATGTGTTCTCGGGACTGGCTTGGCGTGAAGGGCGACGGCGGAATGTAGCGGCAACTAAGCTTGCGTAATTTGGTGATAAGATTATGGGAAATGAGCCCTATGTCGTAGCATGGTTGTGAGAAGACAAAGGTCAACGTCATCCTTCGACATCTTGGCTTACTTCTTGGGTAATCTCGTGTACAATTTGAAACTGGAAATTGAATCAGACAGGCGAATTGGGGAGCGCCGACAAATTTATTCATAGAAAAATCACTAACCATGCTGAAAATTCCTTGAACGAATGTCTTGGTGAACCCTCATCTCTTGTAAAGTCACCATTCTGGGGAGTAGCCCATTCGGTGATGCCGAGGAGCGGTGATAAAGGGTCGGGGGGGGGGGCTTTGTGCACGTCTCGTCGTCGACATGCAGAAAAAGAAAGTAGAAACACATTAGCAACAATGTGCAGTTACATCGTGTGGTCTGAATATTCAAGAATAAACAGCGAGAAAGGCCTAACGCATCGCTTGAGCCAGGCTAGCAGCGTGAAAGGCTTTTTAATAATTGATCCTTTGAAGAATTTTCGGCTCCAAGTTGATGAGGTAGTTATGACAAGACTGTGGAGCGAGGAGCACACGGGAATTATGGGACTTCTGGAAACATTGCCTGACCAAGCATTCGGGGCTAATCAGAGAGAGGCTAGGCGAAGAGACTTTGTTTTCAATGGGCCCTTGACCGCCGCCACCGCCATCATCCCCGGGACCTTTGCGTGGGAAGCGTCTCCACCACCCTATCGTGGGGGAAAAGGGCGCAGCAGGGCCCACCGCGGGAAGCTGCTCTCCCCCAGATCCAACCAGCAGCCCGAGCAATTCCGTAGAATGACATATGTCGTACCCCATTCTTTCGATATGTAAATCGGAGATAATTAGAGGCACCAGCCGGCGCTATATTTGGCGCCCGACAAGCGAGTCGGGAGTCAGGCCTAACCCCAACCACCTACCTTTCTGCTTGACTTCGCACTAAATAATTATAGTAAAACCTTGCTGTAGGAGTGAAGCTTTAAACTCCAAGTTTGGTACCGATCACGATCCGTAAGCGCCTCATTCATGAACCTGTAAATCGTGCTTGTTTATTCTCCACAATTCAACATCTACCTAGCCGGCAAAGACGAATTCTTCACCTTCCAGTGGTGTCGGTGTAATCGCTCAGTATGCTCTGCATATCTGGGATAGCCAAGAAGGATCGCATCCAAATCGAAGTCGAAAGTACTCACAAGCACGTCTTAAATCGTCGACTTCTCGTCAGTGTCCGATCTATCATTCTCACGCGAGTCCTCCACCTCAATCTTACCGCACCACCTCGCCTCAAATACCGATAATGGCGTTACTCCAATTGCAATCGGGCATTTGCCTCAACAAAAACCGGCCATCTCACTCTACACATTTACGATGTTATGTATACCCGCGAGGAGGAATTCAAGTCATAATCTACAAAGCTCGGGTCTTGGTCAATGGGGGATCGTTGCTCTAACGGGGCTTCACATCTTAAGGGAGGACAAGTAGCTGGGACGTGGGACGAACGAGTGAAGAAGCCACAAATGGGCATGCTGGGACGCACATTTTTCGAGTGTCTTCGACTTAAGATTGTCTGTGTGTGCAGAAGCAACGATTTTGGATAGTGCAACCGACACTCTAAAAATAGGCAACGATGGAAGGTGTTTTGTTCCGCCTCCTGGTCGTCATCTCCCCGAATTAAAGTCTGGGTAGCCTGGACACCTACCTCACTCGAGAAGGGGAGGACTATGAGGCCATATCTCGCGCGGCGGCTATATATAAAATGGCAAAGGCATGTTAGGGTAGCCAAAGGTTTTTCCTGTTTGCCCTTTGATGGATATTAACGGTTGAGGGAAGGGTGAACGACCCTGGCACCAAGTTCTCAAGCGGTATCAGCGAATGCACCCACTGCATAAGTAGTCCAAATGTCAAACTGAGTTATCGTCGTATATAGTCACCGGAGAAGCTAGTCTTCTCTGTGTCATGCTCTTTGAGTGCAGGGCTTGTTATTAGATCACCTGTAATGGACTTAATAGCATTAATGGTTTGCGGTAATAATCGTCTGATAGTCTATTCTGTTCCCTGTTTTCTACGTATATCCATTATAGTTATTAAAACCTTTCTCAAAAGGTGAAGTTATATTACCCTAACTCGGTATATATAAATCTAAGTATACAAAAGTTACACATATTCCAAGTATAGAGTGTTCCCCCATAAATCAGCCCATTTAGCGTCGCTCGCTTATTAGGGCTAACATAGGACATGCAAGGATTAAGGTTTACACAATTATTATTTCCCTTGCACTTTTACACGCCCCCTAAACCTGAATCCGCTAATTAATCAATCTACCATTCCAAGTCTTTCAACAAACTCGTTAAATGCCGCATTGTTAAGCGGTTTAGTCAAGCCGTCCGCTGGGTTCAATTTTGACTCCACTTTCCTTATGGTAATGTTCTTGTCGCGAACTTCCTGTGTGGCGTAGTTGTACTCTACACGAACATGTCTTCGGCCAGAGCTGATTCCTGTACTGTTAGCCCATTTGATTGCTCCGTTGTTGTCTTCAAGGACAGGGATGGGTCCGGATGGCATTTGCCCCAGTTCTTCCAGGAATGTCCTTATCCAAGCGCAATCTTTTGTTGCTTCGAAGATGGCTGCATACTCGGCTTCGCAAGTCAGTGTAGATACTGTTGTCTGTAGTTTTGACCTCCAAATGACTGGGCTTCCTCCCATAAATATAACATAGCCTGTTGTTGATTTAGATGATTCAAAGTCATCTGCAAAGCTAGCGTCCACAGCACAATGCAATCCATATTTCCCGAATTCATTCACGTGTCTGTGATCTTTGGTATACTCCAAGCCCTTGTTTGCACTACCAGACAAATATTGGGCTACTCTCAGCGCATGCTTGTGGTGATGGGGAGAAGGATTACACATGTATCTCGCTAATTGAGACATAGCTTGTGAAGTGTCGCATCGGGTCATGCATGCCGAAAAGTTGTATTTTCCTATTAACCTCTGGTAATTATAAAGCTCTGTGCTCGAGGCTTTTCCGTTATATTTCTTCATGTCTAGCCTACTAGCAACTGACATAGGTGTTGGTACGGGCCGTTGACTCTGTAATTCCAGTTCTATCATTGACCTGTCGATGTATTGTTTTTGGTCTAACCTCACACTCCCTGTGGGTGATGATCTTTGGACTCTGACTCCTAAAAACCATGAAGCTTCTCCCAAGTCATTCAGTGGCACTGATTTATTCAAGGATTTTGTTAATGCACTGATTTTACTTT